CTAATTAGATTTTGTAGGTGTGGATGGCTTCCTGATGAGGCCGAACTCAAGTTGAAGCAGATTTATCCCTCGTCATATTGTGCAGAAGAGCTGAATATGAGCTCTAGAATGCAGGCCCGTACAGTGTGTGCCATTCTCTAACACTGTTGTGCCATTCTGATATCTGTGCTTTATCTCCCTAGACAGAACACAACACAACAGACAAATCTAAACAAACACGGTGTCTATGCCACCAGCAGGTCAGTCAGAGATTGGGCTGTGTTATGCTAGCAGCAGCTAATGTAGCCTGGAGCCTGCAGCAAAGACGAGGAGCAGTTACAAAGGTCTGGTCACTTCTTTCTAACTCCACACCCCAAGAGTTATGTATGTATGTATTTATTTATGTTACGTTTCTAAATTGTAGTCTTCAGACCAAAACTGATGCTGAATCTGGTGACATCAACTGTGGACGTATCAGACTTCACACAGCTCCACTGAAGGCTGTATACTAGTGTTTTCACATATGCTGTAGTAAATGCCAACACACCAAGACATGCTGAGGTGAAAAATCTGGTCATTTTAGTAAACCAAAATAAATAAAACACCAAAAAAATTTCAAAAAACTGTGGTCAAAACATCCGAGGCAGCCATCAACCAAACATTTTCTCCATAAACCTCTCAGTATATTAAAACACTACACACACACACACACACACACACACACACACACACACACACACTGATGAAAATGCGCAAAGACTTGTGTGGTGACAACAAGGCAAATCAATAAGCCTAAACGCTATGGACTTAAGTTTTGTGACTTATGCTTCAATTTAAAAGCTGTTTCATGAGTCACATTATGAAGTGAACACAAGACACTTGAACTTTAATAAAAGCAGCTGATAACTTTTAAACAATAAAAACAAAATTAAAGAATCATACCATTGTGTTTGCAAACTGTAGCTCTAATCACACTTTATACTTTCTAGGCTTTATGTTTTTGCAGCCATTTCCAGATGCAGATTGTATATTGTTAGATTTTAGATTTAACATACAGTCACCAGTGGGTTCCATTAATTTCTGCTTGAATCTGTAACAGCAGTTAAGAGCAGATCACTTTTAAAAGTCTGTACTATATTGTGACTTATGACAATATAATAATTAATAAAGATGATATTCACCTGATTACACAACTTAAGCAACAACCTTTTTTTATGAAGTTTGCTATTGTGGGAAAACAATGGCCTCTCTGAACAGCAGAAAAGCATATTCAAACTTCTAAACAAAGCAGCATGGTTTGCAAAATGACTGGATGAGATGTAAAGTAAAGACATAGTAAACTGTCTACAACAGGCAAAACTGTTGGCATGGTGCTTTAAAATGTGTCTAGCAGAACACAGCACACCTGATCTCAAGAACAAAAATGTCTAATCATTCAAGATCCACCAGCAGTACGTCTTTGACTTACCACCACAAAATAAAATAGAAGAAATACATTGATTAAAAAAATCATTACAAACTATAAGTAACTCCTAAAGGGAAAACTACAAATAATAGGTGGAATAAATCAGTATCTGCCAGGATACTGGCTCATGGAAACCCATCCTCCTGGTTCTCTCTGTGGGCTGTACCTGTATACTGGGCTGCACAATAATCATTCTATATTGTCTGTTTAGTGCTATATATTTGCAACCAAAATGATGAGATGATCATTAAGTCCTGAACACCGAGTGCTGAACAAAATTCAAGCTTCCTAAACAGAAGGATAAACCCAGGAGGCCAGAACAGCTCAGTTTGCCTGGGGCATGATCAAAATGTTTACAGTCTCATGCCATGATTATCCCATTGACTTGTTTTGTGCTTTTCTCTTCTCTTACCATCCTTAGAAAAAACAACAGTGCACTTGTGATGTAACAAAGCAAGAAAAACAACCTGGAACTTTCTTGTTTGCAGACATTTTACATTTTAATGGATGCACCATTACCATCTAAATGGCATTGCCTTGACTCTGTATTTGTAAGAGAGAGAGCTGAAATTCCTGAATATGGTGGGTTTGACTGACAGCTCCTCTATGTGATACCGTCGTTGCCTCTGGCTTCCCAGCATTCCCTGAAATCAAGCTGTTGGAGTTGGGAGTGAAGGGGACAGGATGTTGTGTTAATGGCACAGCTCTCCATTTTGTCTGCGGTCTCTTTGCACTCTTTGCATTCAGCTCACCGGGGATGTTTGAAGGTTTGCTTTTCAGACATGCACAGTATTAAGGAACACCATGACAATTTGACCAGTGATAGCAGTGTGACCTGAGGGTGGTAATGATGGACAGTGCTTTACACCTGTCCAGCACTTTGATCAGAGGTATCTCAACAGCTCTCCACAACTCCTGGTATGGATATTCATGGATCGTAGAGGATGACTTTGGAGATGCTTTAACACCACCATTCAGTCACAAATGCTGTCAGACTCACATTTTGAACCATGAAAAGGCATCCTGAAAACAAATGTCCGGATTACAATGACATTTGCTGTTGATTTGAACGTATCCATAAGACGACTCTTAAAGGTATGGCCCCGGTCCGTCCCCCCACACTACCATCAGTGCAAACCTTACATTTTCAGCACCACTGCTTTATGAATAACTTAAGTTTCAGTATTTTTTAATGACCTCAAACACTGCATATCATAACCTTGTCTCTGGGTGCAGCCAGCAGGGCTTTAGACCTAGAGTCTTTTCCATCATCAGGTACTGAGGCAGCTGTGGCTCAGGAGGTAGAAGTGAGTCTTCCCCCAACCACATGGTTGGTGGTTTGATCCCAGCTTCCCCTGCCCACAAGTCAAAGTGTCCTTGGGCACGTCACTGAACGCCAAGTTGCTCCTGGTGAGATCACCAGTGTGTGAGTGACTGAATGGGAAACAGTGTAAAGCACTTTGCGTGCTCCAATGTGTAGAAAAGCACTATATAAGAACATTTATCATTTACTGCCTTGCCCTGATCCAGGACCTGCATACTGTATTGCACTATATTGTATCTGATGGAGATCCAATAACATGTGCACATGTTATGGGAAGGATGTAGAATATATAAATGTGCTGGATGACAAGCTATCTTCTTAGACACTTGTAATGGTAGGGAAACACATTACAGTAGTTTAGTTTATTATATATAGATGATTTCTCTCTGTAGAGTTTATAATCCACTCTCCACAATTTTTACCAAATTTAATGTTTTCACCTCGTTTCTCTCTCTTTGTTGTAATTAGCAGGGTAAAATCTGTGTCTGTGTTTATTTAGGATCACCCAAAGTTTCGAGTCCTCAGAGGTGAAAGGTGCCATTAAACAGGGCTAACATGGCAGGGAGAGAGGTGTGTCTGTTATTTATATAGTGCATCTTCCTCCTCACACACTGGCCATGCTGCTGCTAAACAATGTTATCTTTTATTAAATGTAGCTTGTTGTGAGTTTAGTGACAATGGCTTACTGTATATCTTCTGGAATAAATCCTGTTTTCTGTCAGCTGTTTGTTTCTGGTCTTTGTTACCTTCCCTAGGCCACGGTTGTGTATGTGGTATGACAGTCCTGGATCAGGCTTTCATAGTGGCAGTTCACTTTACCAAAAACCACTTGGTTAGCATTTCTCATTAGAGCCAAGGAACATGCAGACTCAAAGTCAAAATGTCAAGGTGTACCTTCACTGATGATAGCACAGGGCTGATTCAGGCATCGAGCCACACATCCTCCTGAGCTGCTTCTCACCACACACACACACACACACACACACCACCACCACCACCACTACCAACTGGCAACACATACGCACTTAACCACAAAAACACAGAATTACAATGACTTCAGTAACTTCTACATCATCTCTAAAGTAAAAAAAATGCTGCATGTAGTATCAGAGTACTATACATCCTGGTGGTTGGTTTTGTTTGGCTGAGATGGCTGAGGTGACTGCTCGTCTGCGTTCTCTCTGCTTCTCCATCCTCAACTCAGTTCCATTTCCTGCGTCATCCTCTCCCGTGGCCTCCTTTTCACTGCTGTCTGGTGCTTTGTGGATTCTCTTTGCTCTCCCCTCCACATTCTCCACCACAGACAAGCACAGACCTACAACTGGACAGCCAGGTTTAAAGTATGTGGCTAGACTGCAAATAGCCGAGCTGAGCTGCCAGGAAGATTTTTCTTGGCATTGTATGAGGTTGACTTCTTTCCTTATGAGAGAAAGACCATGAGCTTCTGCCAGCCCAGCTTTCACCTCTTGTCCCTTGCTCCTTGTCCTTCCTTCCAGCCAGTTTTGGTTGACTTTATCCAAACAAAACACAATGACTAAGTATAAATGCTACTTTGACCACTGTCTTCGTGGAGTTCACTTTCTGTCTGACTTTTTTCCAGTGTAGACCAGATTTATCCAAGAGGAACAAAACGTCAAGGCCAGAGAAAAATGTTCTGGACTGCACAGCCTTCTCTAAAGTGTTCAACATCCTCAGAAGCTAGAGGACATTCCTAAGGAACCTTTTTGGCACTAAGAGAACAGGAGCAATGAGTGTTATCATGTAGATATTGACTGAAGTACCCACCCAGTTGTGGCAGCTGTGGGATCACATCATCAGGACTTCCACACAGTAGAACAGGAACACATTAAGACAGATATGACAGTTTCAGGTTTCCTACTGATGCTGGATGAGGGCTCATTTCCTTTCCTCATCACATTACAGTCATTTCTGTGGTATTCACATCCTTTAGGTTAAAGTAGAATATCTGATGACTTAAAACTCATCTGGATGGACATATGCTTATTTTATCCTTAACCAAACAGTGCATCAGCCTCTTCTAGGGTTTGCGCAGAGTACTGAAGCATTCTCTTGATCTGCATTTAGTTCATACCACATAGGATTTCCCTGACAAGTGGAAATAAATATAATGACCATACAAAGAACCCAAACACATCCAACAACATCAACTGAAGTTATGCCAAACCGCTCCCCTGATCACTACTAACAGGGCCAAATGTTCTTGGGTGTGCACTGATGCCAAGGAACAGAGGAAGAAAACTGGTAAAGAGATGAAAATAAGTTTGTCAGTAGTAACAAATTTTTATTGCCACACTCCCTCTTGCTATTTATGTGATACTGGACTCTGAGAGCAGGGTGGAACTACAGCGTGGTCTCATATTCCAGCCTCTCCTGCACCAGAGCATCATCTTTGTACTGCAGCCGTGGGGGAGATAGGGAGCAGTCTATGGCCAGGATTGCCTTGCGTATACTGCGGTCAAGGACATGACGCTCCCAGGCTGGGTAGCGGTTCCTGCAAAGGTCAATCTTGATGACGGTCTCTTCGAGGCGCGGAGCACGTGACGATGGTGTGGATGGCACTGTGGATCGGACCTGAAACACTGGCATGCAGCCGTCCCGCTCAGAATACTTCCCAGTATCACGCTCCAGTGTTGCAGTGGCACCACGGTTAGAACGCAGTGAGTTGGTGCCACCATCAGAAGGTAGTGTGGAGAACTGAGAAGTGGGGTCAAGGTCGAGGCCCTGGCCACTCGGTGAGCGTCCAAAGCGTGGCCCATTGGGATGAAAAAAGGCATAGTACATGAGCATGAAAACCACACCGGTGAGGAAACTGCTGAAGATGACACAGAGCGCTGGCACTGCAAAGGCGTCAGTGGTGTGAGGCAGCCGGTAGAGATACCACAACGCACTGAGAGCAGCATTCTCCACCAAGATCACCAGGTAATAAATGAAAAGCCGACACCTGCATGAAGACATGAGACGTAAAAAGAGATGAGTCAGATAAATTAAAGCCAGTATTATTAACAACATAGGCAAATGTGTGGTTGGAAGTATTTATTTTAGAATTTAATAGTGGGTGGCTGTAGTGGTCAGCTGGTCTGCCTCTCCATCCAGTCCATGTAATACTCCTCAGTTCAGGTTTGTATTTGGGAAGTGACTAAAAGAAAACTGAAAACCTGAAATCAGTTTTCTAAAACTGTATTTTTCAATTGTCAGGTCAATGTAAACTTATGATTTGGGACTCGTTTTTTTCTATTTCCTATCCATGAAATGTCTGATTGAAAAATAGAAACTATAAAAATAAGAGTATTGTTTGTTTCTTGGTAGGGTGGGTTCTATGGTGCCAGCTCAACCTGCATCTGATTGGTCAGCGGTGCTGCTCAACAGTGTTTGTATAACTTTATTTAATAAATACTCTGAGGTGTAGCCAGTGGCCCTAGAACAGCGCAGAAACAGGCCAGAGGTGAGATTACTGAAATTAGTCATTTATTGTAACGCTGATTAGCCTCCATCCAATTTGTGGTACAGATAACAGTCCTGTCTTTTTTGTCTACACATTTCCTGTGTTTTGCTCCTTGAAAATCCCAGTGCTTTGGTCATCCCTGGCTGTGCTGCTGGCCCCTGCAGATCATCCATCTGAAATCAGCACTCCAGTGTTCTGTGGGCTGAGTCAGGGTTCAAATGTAGCAAGTCTGACTTTAATGCTGAAAACCAAAGTTAGTCTCTTTTTAAAATGAACTATAACCATGTCTTTTCCCTGAATCTAACTGTACTGTTGTTGTCATGCTCAGATACTGTAGAAGATTACAAGCTTTAAAATGTTAGCATCCGAAAAGTCATCACTGCACAGAATCCGGGGTTTTGCAGAGTGGTCCGATATCAGTGTTCTTGTCTGGTGAGAGGGCTGTGAAAAACACATAAATTGTCTTAACTCTGTGGAGATTTTAACCTGTTTTAGCCTGCTCACCAACACATCTGCCATAAAACCTTTGTGACTGTGAGTCAGTGCTGTTTGCCAGCTTGTCCCACTGCCCCAAACAACCAGTCCACATGGGCTTGGCACTGTGGTGCATGACACAATTCAGTAAATAAAAGACCTAAAAACTGTATACATTCATATGTACAAGCAGCCAGGCACACACACATGCATGACGCAGTATAACCTACTGTTATGCATATACCACAAACAGAACCACAGAGCTTTTTTCCATCTCCCTCACATCAGAAGCCAGATGTCATATGTGGTGTTGAAAAACTTGTCAAAAATTAGAAACAAACACACACAAAACAAAACAAAGTTGAGTAAAGTTTTACCTGTCTCGTTCATCACTGCATACTGCTTGTTACAAGACCCTGGTAAAGCGGTTTTGCCCAGCGCTAACTCTTAAACAGGTCACTGACATGAGGATATTTTGAAGCTGCTTTGAAAGCCTGTTTGATGGTGATTTATTGGAGTTAGGGTAATTTTGGAACTTTTGGAGAAATGACTGTAATATAAAAGATGAACCTTAAAATTAGAATTATTTTGAAAAGTGTCCAAGTAAAATGAAACAAACCCGTCTGATTTTTGATTGTATCTAATAGTAATCTTAAACCCCAGACTTTCCAGCTTATCATAGATCTATTTGCTTTGAAGCGCCATACATTTGACAGTTGATTGAACTTTATATGAACGGCTTTCCTTTAATTACACCATTTAGGAATAATAAAAACATTTCAAGAACTTGCATAATTAATGACAAAAAAACCCCCCATCAAAACAATGAAACTGATTTTTTGTTGAGGTCATCAGCTGAGCATGCTCACCTTGTCCTTCCCTCTTTGACGTTGAACCAGGAAAAGATGTAGATTATGCCCACCACCATGTCAAACACTATCTCCTCCCATTTGCTTATGCAGAAGTCTGTCTCGCAGTGGACAATCCAGAAGGTCATGATGCACCAGTGCAGGACGATGAAGATGCCAAAATAGAGTTGAAACACTGAGGCAAACAGGGCGAAGGTGATTACCCTTGCTGCGATAGTGAAGAAGTGCCAGCAGAACTGGATGATAACAGCCAGGTAGCTGATTGGCTTCTTGTCATCCCGAGACTCTCGCAGAGCCTTTTGGTAGGAAGCCAAGGCCCAGGCCAGAGAGATAAGGGAGGCTGCTGCGGTCATACCTAAAACAAACAGACACACAGTGGGTTTGATCTGAGCGCCACATCATGGGAACATTACAGAAACACTGACAAGCTGGAAGATATGCTTCATTGCCAGTCACAGTCAAATGAGAAGATAAATATCTGTGCCTCCGGTACACAGACTGGTCCAGGACAACCTAACTTAGTACACACACTGGAGACACTGGTCTAGAATGTCGGTGAACAAACTCTAAAAGGCTAAATCTAATTTCATCACCTCAGTCAGCTCTTGAGTCCTTGATTGCAAAGACTGACAGCAAATGAGCCCACCACAGCACCACCATGTGGTGATAGTTTCTATAGATGCAATGAAGTTTTGATCCACTTTATAGGCCTGTTTCACCGGCTTCTGTCAGTGTTGCATGTAAAGTTAGACACATCCGAACATAAGCGTTTAATAAAATGCCGCAACATGTCAGTGAAAGGTTTGCTTATAGAACTAATTCTGATGAATCAGTATGCTTGATGTTATCATTTCTTTTACTTACAATCACTGTATTTCCCATGTTCTTACTGTGTTTATGATCTTGATATTATCATTTACTTGTCAAGGCTGTTTCAATATGAGCACTATAGATTAATTATTGATTGTCTTGCTAATGTTTAATAGTAATAACTGTGGTTAGGGTTAGGTACAGTTACAGCTGTACCTAGTGTTCACACATAATGACAGATGCTATCTAAAATTCATGATGGCTGAATTACATTCAGATGCTTCACTTTCAGGGTGTACACAGTGCAATTTGGCTATTGCACAATAAAGATTAGGATTAGAGAAGCATTATGTCTCAAGTACAGAAAGACAAATGTGAGTGAGTGTTACCTTGCACAGCCTGGAGTTTGTGTGTCTGTATGATGATACACAGCTGTAGCACCAGTTGTGGAGCACTCTCCAGAAAGGTGGCTAGCAGGTGTAGCATGCTGACATCTGCAAACTCATAAACCATTCTCCAGTAGTAACGCCATCGCTCTGACTCAGTGCTCTGATGACTTCGAACGCCCAGGTAGATGGTATGGAAATACCTGGTGAAAATGGAAGAGAAATATGCATCATCATCAATCGGGCATCATAAAACATCAGTACATCAATAAGGAGAAAGGCACAACCCACTGAACAACTTTCCATTTCACCTTCATTTCTCTGGGAAATCCCTGAGAAAAGCAATAGTAACATCCAGGAGTAACACTGCACTGTTAATGCACAATATTCGTTTGTATGTACAGCATGCATGAAGAGCAGTTTCTCCAGTTCACATCCAGTCAGGGACCCTGTGTCATGTCATCCCCTTTGTCTCTCTCCTTGTTTCCTGTCATCACTCTACTGTCAGCTATCTAATACAGGTCTGAAGTGCCCACAGTGCAGCAACATCAGAAGTAAAACCACAGGAGCACAAACATGACTTTTAGTCACTGTTAAGTTGTTCTTTGTCTTAACTCAGCTCACCTTAGTTTAACATAACCACATTTCACCAGTTTAAGTTGGAGACAACAGAGAAGATTTCAAACTGAGTCCACACTAAATCAGGGCACCTATCAAAACTTGTGCAGTGTCTGGAAATCTCTCAAATCCTGACTTGCAGATGCAGCATAGCTAGATTTAGTTTGAATGTGTTTGTTTTAACACCGAACCTTTGCTTAAAATAAACATAATAAATAAAGTTAAGCAGGAAAATGTTAACATTATTACAGATACACAAAACTAGACCCTCTGTTATGCAGCCTAAACAGCAGTTTCACCATGCAGTTTCATCAGAAAAGGCTGGATTGCAACATGGATGCTGTCTGAGCAACACACACTACAGCTCCAGCTTTACCTCTCCAGACCTGAGGCAAACGCTTGTTTAATGACATGAATTCAGTTTTGATTTTCAGTCGGTCTGTGGCCTACATTTTCATCTGTTTGTCTCTGTCAGTCTCCCACATTTATTTCCATTTTCTCTCTCCCTCTCCCTCTGAAATATCACCACCGCATGGCAGCCATTTAGCAGCAGCCTAATGGGCTGTGAAATGAAGTTCTGTTGTCAATAAAGATTTTAAAATTAAATCTGGGCTGAGGGCATTAAAGCTGCAGCCTGTTCATGGACAGATGGACCTAACACATCTCTCAATGTGTGTGTGAGTATGTGTGTGTACACATGGTACAGTATTGCTCTATGGGGACAGAAACCTTACACACTCTCACTGTGGGGACTTGACCTTCCTCATGGGAATGTAAATAATGGAATTTTAGGGTGATAACTTGGAGTAAGGTTAGTGTAAGGGCCACGACGGTCAGCTATCAGATGCTGTTGGTGAGCATCAATCTGACTTCATCTTCCCAGTGTGTCCTGCACCTTTGGTAGTCGGACCCTGTAGGCAACTTTTTGCCCAATTCATCATGTTGAATCGGTGTCGGACCAGTGAGAGAAACCACTCTGATTGGCTGTTGAATTTAATAACTCAATGCATGAGAAGAGAACAGTTCGGGAAAGCCCGGTCAGCTTAGAAGCAGCTACAAACAGCGGCTGTTTGAACGTAAGGTGCTCTGTTTATAGAACACAGATACCGCCACCTGCTGGTAGGGGGAGTTATCTCTTTTTATAATGTACGTGCTAGTCAGTCATTGGCTGTAGTCTGAGCGTACAAGTGTACAAGTGTTACATGTTTGACCTGACTGGTGCAATTAAAGGTGGCATGAGGTGACGCAGCAGTCGGTGTACATCGCTGCTAGTTCCTTCAGGTCGACTTGGTGTGTCTCTGCCCTAAAGGTTAGACAAGTAGTGGTTATGGTTAAAGGTTAGGGCAAGTATCCAGGAAATGAATGTAAGACAGTGTGAAGTCTTCACAGGAATGAAAACAAATGTGTGTGTGTGTGTGTCTGTGTGTACTGGTGCTAGTCTTTCTAGGTCTACAGATACAGGTCAGATTTGTCAACCTGCCACTCCCATGGCAGTACTACTTTTCATGTACACTACACAAATTCCGGTGTTTTCCTCGTACTCCAGTACAGGAGTCTAGCTAAACTTCCAAGTTCTAGTTTTTGATTCAATCTGACTTAATCACAGTCTGTACTTCACTAAGGCTATGGATACTTTTTAAAACCCTTATAAATATTATAGTGAAAATTAGAGGACCTTTACCTTAACTAAAATTTTGGTACTTTATTTAGCAAGTGCAGAAGCTATTAGCAAAAAAGAAAAGAAAAATTATATATTTTAATTGTTAATAATCAAAATAAAATAAGACATCCACATCATCCATTATTTCTGTTCTCATCCTCTTCTGATTTTGGTAGGAGAAAGACAAAAATCTAAACCTCGCCTGCTGGAGTAGAAGACTAGTCTACTGGGATGGAAGCCTTGCCCTGCTGGGCCAGCAGCCTCCCCAGTACTTAGGCTGGAGCCTGTGGCCCTCTCTGACCAGGGAGTGTCTCTCGGGGGCTGTGACCACACTGACTCTATAGCTTGCTGCAGCAGGTTCTCTCTTGTCTCCCCAGGTCTCTCTGCTGACCACAAAGACTCCATACACCGAGGGTTGTAAAAACCTCAGCCCTCTGAAGAGAGTCTGCCTGACTGGCAAAACTGGGGTGATATTTCTAGAAATTTTCCAAGAACAGCATCCATTAGGTATCACCTGACTGTTCCCAGCATGGACATCCTACATCAGATCATTGTTCTGGGAGAGGCTCAGATGTGTCTTCAGCTTGTGACAGAAAACAGGTGTCTACATGACACACTCACCGGCCACTTTATTAGGTACACCTGTACAATTGTATGCACTTCAATGCAACACTTCCAGCTTAACATCTGTGTTTATGAAGCTCAAAATGTTTAAGTTTTTGGTGAAATTGTCATAAATGTATACATTCAATTATATGATTATTATTGAGACAAGGTGGTGTTGTACTGGAGTACATTATATTCAGAGGTGTTCCTAATATTCTGACTCTCTCATTTATGTAGCAAATAGATTTAATAATTTTTCTGAACACATCTTCAGTGATGTACCTTAAATCACTGGCTGTTTCAGGTCATCATACACCCTCCTTTCCAGCCAGGCTCCTCTGCCTCCATGGCTAATTCTATGTATTTCATTTTCCTCCTCTCATTTGCTGTATCTACAGTGTCCTCCCAGGGAACTGCAAGCTCAACAAAATACACAGTCCGCTGTGCTTCTGACCACAACACAATGTCTGGCCTGAGGTTAGTGCTGACCGTCTCCTCAGGAACTATGAGCTGATGCTCAGATTTCCTTTCATTTGCCAATCCCTCCCTGACTTTAGCTGGTCTGCATCCTGCCTGTTCAAAATGACTTTTCACCCTCATGAACAAACAAAATCCCCTCTTGTTTCTTCTTCTCCCCCAATGAGTTGACATCTAAGCGCCTGCTTTCAATAGCTGCTGCTGAACATTTCAGCACTTGACTATATCTCCAGGTGTATCGTCCTTGAGCCAGGCTTATTTTACACCCTGGAGTTATGCTACACTTGAACACAAAGAACATGTCAGTCCTCACCTATCCATCAATTCAGATTTTGGGGAGATGGAAGCACATCATAAGTTGCGCCTAGAATGAATCTAATCCTTCCTGCCTCCATGTCCCACATTTCCCTCCAACTAAGTTTCTTCCTTTCTCCATCTTTCTTCCTTTCTCCTGCTGAGCCTGGGAGACTGCCATCAGTCTTTTGTTTCATGTCTGCAGGATAGCTCACCACAGTTGAAAAGCATGGCATTCCCTACCGTCATGCCCTTTATTCTAGTCCAAGTAGCACAAAGAAGGAAGCAATAACCATATCATGCAGGGATCCATAGTCTTTAGTGTTTTGTAACTGCATACTTTTGTTGTAGTTTCAGCACAATGTTTCACTGATATGTAACAGAGAAATAGACACATTTATTTGCGTTCTGTAAGCATATAGACATAATCTAAATACAGTAAATAACAAAACACGCACAGCAATAGTGCTCATTCAAGCACTTACAGTATAAGTAGATATGAATATACAGGGTAAATGTGCTTCTGCCAACCCATTGGTTTTTAACCAAAAACGTACATCGTAACAACCTCTAGTCTAGATGAAAGACCTGTGATAGCTATTAAAATGTTTCTGTTGGTATAGATACTGTATGTGCAAAGATGTTGCAAACTCTAATAACAATGAAAATTTCCCCAAATCATAATAGACAAGACTCCACCATGTGGTGTGAACTACATTAACTTTATTTGGGAACCAACTAAGGAGGAAACAACCTAGTCACAGCAAATGCCAAGTAAAGTAACAGAGAACAGCTTACATGCTGTTGATTCAAACACAAAGAGGCATAATGGGAACAGCTCTGTCACAATTCACACACAAAGAAATGAATGCTGACACTGAAGATAGTGACAGTGCTTGTTCAACGGAGCCTGGCATTACTGTAACAATAATCGTCTCTTTCACCACTGTTTTTGTCTCATTCTACATTCTGCTTTGTATTGTTGCCAAAGTTTGTTTTATTTCAAAGCTTTCCTGCTTCCTGTGACTTATAATTAACTCCTAACTCACATTTATATCCCAACCTGAGGTTTTAAAATCGGTTGATGAACTGCTGTGCTGTGTTTGTGTGTTGTTTAGGATTATGATTTATGTATACTGTATTGTAGATCTGTGGCTAACTTTTCTTTGGTTCTACCGGCTTTTGTGTGCCTCCGTGTGCATGTGTGTGAGAGAGAGAGAGAAAGAGAGAGATTCATTATACTGTTGGTCTCTCCACCCCCCTCACTGTCTCCCTGTCTGACACTACCCTGGAAGAAAACTCTGAATAATGCAAGGGGTAAATTGCCTTTCAGACACACACTCACACACATGCACACACACACACACACAGACAAGCAGGTAGAACAAAAGCATCACCATCATAATGCTATCCTTAAACTTGAAACCGAATCTTAAACAATACAATACACAGACACCAACATGAGTGCAAAATACTCATGACAGTCACCATGGCTGTGCAGGATGGATCGCAATGTCAACACAGAAGGGTGGGGGGTTCACAGCAAAG